GTGACTATAATTAAATTGGAAGCTATATTTGAAAGATGCTAAATTATACAATGATATCATAATTGGCAGAATATCATTTGGGTCTGAAAGACATTACTGACAATCTGGATGCTTGCAGATTTGATCTTACACAGTGTCAGTTCTGGATCATTGTATTTTTTTAATTTTAGATTTAAGAATGTTGGCATTGAGACTATCTCCCTCCCAATTGATACATGCTTATGAAATGACCAGAAATAAGTGTAATTTGACATGCATTTGAGAAAAAATTTTAATATTACCACATTCAATGCTACTGTTGCTTCCTAAGTAATGTTGTCCCAATGCTTTGGATGTGTGCATTTTTAAAAGCAAACTTTTGGCGCCGGCGTTACTGTCTGAGTCTCTTTATGCAGGGTGTACCTGAACACTGTAGACTCCCAAGCCGTAAAGTAAATATGTAGGTTTTTATATGGATTCTGACTTGGTGGTGGGTTTTTTTTTCTCCTAATTTTTGCTTTTTCCAGCTCATACTCATAAATCTTAGTATATTAAAGTAGTTTTGTAAAAGATGTTACTAGAACTCCTTGAATTCCTTTGCATTTTATTCATAATCTGAAGAGATTTTTTTTTAAAAAATTGCTAGAATTTGGTTTCTGAAGCTGAATCTTAAAAATGCTAATGTTCTTTCAGATGTAACATCTTGAAAATTTGTTATGATTAGAGTTAATGCAAATCATTAAGCTCATTGAAGCAAAATTGATTTTTCTTTTTTGTTGGTCAAAATGGGTAATGAGTAGAAATCCCTTTACACATTTTGTCTTATTTTCTCTGGGGTATTGAGATCTTATCTGAGAGACAGCATTTTGGTTTAGAGTGGAAAGAAAGAGCTGTCTTTTTCTGGGGCTCACTGCTGAGGTAGGTGCGTCATTAACATCTGACACACCTTTTTAAATGACTATTTTTAATGTCAGGAAAAAGTCAGATGACTTCCTTAATATTGAAACACCCCTCCTGCATACAGAATGGGAGGAGTATTTTATTTTATAACTTCCTTCAATTGTTTATATAAGTCATTTGTTTAAGCTAGCAGTTCACTGCTGGAGCACACATATGACAGTAGTAATAATAACCAAACAGAGTGTGTCCCTAGGTCAAAAGATTACTTCTTCACTAGTGTAGAGTTCATTCCTCAGAGAAAGATCTAAGTCTATGAGTTGATCCTTATGATGATGTTCCCTGCACTGAAACCAGGTACTCGGAATACATAGCTTTGGCTGTGTTGGTGGTTCATGGTCCTTACTGTAGTCCATCCCTACACAGACCCTGACTGTTTGGCAGTTGTACTCACACAACTATTGCACCAGCATATCTTGCAGGCATGTCACTATTGTAGATTGAAGGGTTTGTAGCTGGGTTGGTGTTTACCTTCCTCCTTTAATACATGGAAAATAGGCCGGGCGGTCGTGGCGCACGCCTTTAATCCCAGCACTCGGGAGGCAGAGCCAGGTGGATCTCTGTGAGTTCGAGGCCAGCCTGGACTACCAAGTGAGTTCCAGGAAAGGCGCAAAGCTACACAGAGAAACCCTGTCTCGAAAAACCAAAAAAAAAAAAAAATACATGGAAAATACCTTCCAGAACCTTGAATGCTAGTCAGTAGGAGTAAAGGCTCTAGGTAGGCACCAGCTTGTCTTCTCTGTGTTCAGTGATTATGTAAGTGCTGTCTTCAGCAATAGGACCTTACTGTCAGTTTGTGGCGAGCAGCCAATAGACTTGGAAATAGCCTGGGTTGCTTGAAGGTTTCTATGGTGTGCCTTTGGCCAACAGTGTGATTAGATATAACCCGTTCTCAGCACAGGAAGTCTTATTTGGTGGTGAGAGATGTCTAGTTGGGACTTTGTCTGCCCTGTTATTTGGTGATTCCATTTAGGTTTCTTTCATATATATACTTTAAGAGGCTTGTACTATAGTAGGTTTCCATTCAACCCCTCAAATGGCCCTTAGTTTTAGCCGTCCCTTCCTGTATTGCCTCCCTACCCCCCTCTTTTCTTCCCCTCCAATTTGCTTTTTTAAGTACTGGAGACAAATCCATACATTTCTAGTCCTCTCTCTTTCTCTTCCCCTCTCTCTTCTCCTCCCCTCTCCCCTCACCTTAGTTTTTTGAGACAGAGTTTTTCTATATAACTGTTCTGACTGTCTTAGAACTTGCTTTGTAGACCAGGCTATCCTTGAACTCACAGAGATCTGCCTGCCTCTGCCTCCCTAGTGCTGGGATTAAAGGCAAGTACCACCAGTGCCTGGCTGGTTTGGCTTGGTTTTTGAGACAAGATCTCATTGTAATAATCTTCCTGCCTCAGTTTCTGAGGTGCCAGGATATTGACATGTGCCACCATATCCATATCCTCTATCTATATTCTTAATAAGCTTTATTTTAAAATAGTTTTGGATTTATAGAAGAGTTACAGAGATAGTTGTGGAGGGTTTGATGATGGCTCAGTGATTAAGAGTACTTGCTGTGCACCCACATAATATGGGTAGCATAATGCCTGTAATGTGAAGACAGGAGAATCACTGAGGCTTGTTGGTTTCCAGCCTAGCCAAGAAAAAGGGAATCCCAGCCTTAAAGGGGAGACTGGCTAAAAGGGTGGAGGAGGACGTTGGGCACCCCCTTCTGACTTCTTCACATGCTCCTAGGCCCTTGCACCACAGACACATAGAAGATAGCTATAGAGTGCCCAGTTACCTTGCATCGCTTCTCTCACATTTGCTGCTGTTGACCAATATTGGAACTTTTTATTATGAAGTCCACACTTTATTCAGGTCATTTTTGCTTCTGTTTTTTTTGTTTGTTTGTTTGGGGATATAATACAAGTCACCATCCTTCTTGTTTTTGATGAACACCAGTGATTCTAACCCAGTTACATGGCTAAGGTAGTGCTGTCAGGTTTCTTTACTATTAGGTTACTCTTTCCCCTTTTCCATATTGTATATTTTGCAAGGAACTAACTGTACGCAGCTCTTGGAAATAAGATAGTAAAAATTCAAGAGACTAGGGGGGAAATGAAGCAGTTTTTCAGATGCCATTCTGCAGAAAATAATGCCAACAGAGTAGCAAAGCAAAAATGGCTGGCGTGCTGATTTGGCACAAGACAATGATTTTTTTAAGTAGTGAGAAATTCCTGCCCTTTTCTACAGTAGGCTAGGAGGACTTTCCCCTTTTCCCGGATCCCCATCTCACTGGTTTAAGACTCAAAGTCATTTACATAATTAAAATTTAGGGTTAGAGATTGCCCCCTTGTTCTGATCATAGGCTCAATCATGTAGTAGACTACCTATAACTTTGCAACTCTTGGCTCAGCTAGGGTAGAGAGGAACCTAGTACTTCCTGCTTAATTTAAATTATGTGTGGTATTTGCTTAACTTTTTATGCTTGCGAGGTCAACCATTTTTGCTTCTATTTAATATTGGTAATCTCTGTCTGTGTTATGTCTCCTACCCCCTCCCTGCAGCCTTGATGCTGACTACAATTTTATCTTTTAGTTTGATTTTATTTTCTCTAATGTTTCTCCTTTGATTGTCACTAATTTTCTTTTTTACATAGGCATCTATGCTATAAATTTTTAAGTCCTTTTTTGCATACATGATTATTAATGAAGCTGTACTTTTAGCTTAATATAGTTAAAATGTTTTTTAAAATTTTTGTGACTTCTATGATCCATGGGTTATCTAGAAATGCATTTATCTTTAATTTTTAATGGTTTCCTTCTATGTTTGTGTTATTTCTAGCTTAACTCTGTGTGAGCATATATGATCGTCTTACTTAGGGCTTTATTGCTGTGAAGAGACACCATGACCAAGGCAACTCTTACAAAGGAAAACATTTAATTGGGGCTGGCTTACAGTTTCAGAGGTCTAGTCCTTTATCGTCATGGTGGGAAGCATGGCAGCATGTAGGAAGACATGGTGCTAGAGAAGGAACTGAGAGTTCTACATCTTGACTAAAGGCAGCAGATGGAGACTGTGAGCCACACTGGGCACAGCTTGAGCATATGAGACCTCAAAGCCCATTCCCACAGTGACGCACTTCCTCCAACAAGGCCATACCTCCTTATAGTGCCACTCCCTATGAGCCAAGCATTCAAACCCATGAGTCTATGGAGGACATTCCTATTTAAACCACTACAATGATATATCTTCTTTTATATCAGTTAAAGTATACTTCATGTATCAGATATTTGTCTTGGTAAATTTACTTTAGGTTTTAAAAAACAATGTATTTTCTATTGTTGAATGGAAGTTTAGAAGTGTCAGATCAAATTGATGAATAATGTTCAGGTCATCTTTTTTAAAATAATTTGTTATTTCATGTGCATTGGTGTTTTGCCTGCATGTATGTCTGTGTGAGGATGTTGAATCCCCTGAAACTTGACTCACAGACAGTTATGAGCTGCCATGTGGGTGCTAGGAATTGAACCCTGGTCCTCTGGAAGAGCAGCCAGTGCTCTTAACTGCTGAGCCATCTCTCCAGCCCCGGTTCAGGTCATCTTTTCTAATCTTTACTGATTTTCTTCCTTCTTGATCAGTTACTAGTAGATGGATGCTCACATTATATATTATTGAATTTCGATTATTTTTTCTTATTTATGCTGGGTTTTGCCCTGTAACTTTGGTACTCTTGTGGTGTGCATACATGTTTAAGATTATGTCTTCTTGAAAATTTTATGGATTTATTAATATGGAATGCTGTTTCCTATCTCTGGGTAAGTGTTCTTGTTCTGAAGTCTACTTTTTTAAAAAGTTATTATAGTTAATCAGTATACTAGTATAATAAACCTGTGGCCTATTTTTTTAAAAAATTATTTTTGTTTTATAGTTCTGGGGATCAAACCCACTGCATTGAGCATGTTAAATAAGCACTGTGGTACTGACCTCCATCCTCTTGTCCAGTGCCAGTTTTGTTTTGATTAATGTTAATGTGATACATCATTTGTCTTTTTTTTTTTTTGATTTTTCGAGACAGGGTTTCTCTGTGTAGCTTTGCACCTTTCCTGGAACTCACTTGGTAGTCCAGGCTGGCCTCGAACTCACAGAGATCTGCCTGCCTCTGCCTTGAATGCTGGGATTAAAGGCATGTGCCACCACCGCCCTGCTCATTTGTCCATTTTTATATCATTCTATGCATGATGGATCATCCCAATACATTTTTTACTATTAATGTTTTAAAGAGACAGTTACAGTTTTATATTAGTTAAGAATAAAAGTAGGGTCTGGAACATGGCGGTGCGGTCGTTGTGGGCGGTGCAGCGGCTGCAGCACCTCCTGGCCTCCAGGACCCTGTCGCAGAGCCGGGGATGGCTCCACCCATTCAGCACCGCCACCCCAAGAATGGTTGGGGAAGACTGCAGTTCTGAGGACCCTCCTGATGTACTCGGTCCCTCCCTTGCTGAACAAGCCTTAAGGCTAAAAGCTGTTAAACTGGAAAAAGAAGTCCAAGATTTAACACTAAGATACCAGAGAGCTGTCGCTGATTCTGAAAACATAAGGAGAAGAACCCAGAGATGTGTGGAAGACGCCAAGATATTTGGAATCCAAAGCTTCTGTAAGGACTTGGTGGAGGTGGCAGACATTTTGGAGAAGACAGCTGAGTGCTTTTCAGAAGGAGCCAAACCCGAGGACCACAAGCTTACTCTGGAAAAAGTCTTTCAAGGACTGTCTCTTTTAGAAGCAAAGCTGAAAAGTGTGTTTGCCAAGCATGGCCTAGAGAAAATGACGCCCATTGGTGACAAATACGACCCTCATGAGCATGAACTCATCTGTCACATGTCAGCAGGTGTTGGGGTACAGCCTGGCACTGTGGCATTAGTACGACAAGATGACTACAAACTTCATGGCTGCACCATTAGACTTGCCCAAGTGGAAGTGGCAGTGGAGTCTCAGAGAAGGCTATGAACAAGCCACCGGGAACTAAAACTCTCCCAGGGTCCTGGCACCTCTGTCCCCTTTATTTGTTAAGCTGGTTTATATTATACATGAGGTCCTTCGTGTGCTCTGCTTTGGATTTAGTCATATTGGCTTTATCTTTACAGTATCTTATTGGTTTTATGTAACCTGTTTGGTCTCATCAGAAGTCCTGCCACTGGGCATCTGAACAATGTGACGAGTGTCCTATGGCCTTTATCAAAATGTTTACAAAAATCATTTAAATTGGTACTCTGATGACTGAATCCAAAATCCCTTAACTGTGTTTTCACCTAATGACTGGAATTAGTGTAGCAGCATCGTGGTTCTTGTATCTTATGGGAAAGGGAGATGGTAGGGATTGGTTTGACATTTAGGTCCTTAGATGACAAAGCTTTACCTTGTATAAATTTAGATCATTTGGGTTTATTTCTACAGAGAGTTTTCAAGGCTGCTTTTCTATTTCATTTTTCATTTAGTCATCTTTTGTACTTGTATTCCCTGCTAGGGGCACACTTAAATTGTTCCATAGCCACCCCTTTCTGGTTCCATTTGGAAGGGCTAAAGAGTCGGACCAGTCTTCCTTTTTTTTCTTGTTGGTAAGGTGTACTCTATTATTAAACTGGTCTCAAGTCTATGAACAGGTAAGCTCTGGCTGCCTCAACAACACAGCCCACTCCCAGGGAGACCAAAACCTCTTACATCTCAAGTTAGAGAGTCAGGGATGGGGGGCCAGGCATAGTGGCTGACCATTCAAAATGGAAAGCAGAGGATTGGGGTGGGTGATTTTTTTGCAGTACATAATTTACACAAAAGCAGTGCTGCTGCCTCCCTTGAACGCACTCAGAGTGAACTGGGCCATCCTCCTTTGCGTAGGGTGTGGTGCTGCTCTGGAGAGGACAAGGGACTTCTTGTAACAACAACAAAAATGCACTCAAAGTCCTCAGCCACATTGTCACATTGTAAAACTTGGGGGATGCTTACCCCAATCAGCTGTTGTCACCTTCGCCATTCCAGTTTTTAAATCCTGAGTCAAAAGCACCCCCCCAAAAAAAATTATATATTTATAATTGACAAAAAAAAAAAAAAGAATAAAAGTAAGCCAGATGTGGTGACATGTGCTGGTAATCCCAGCACTTGAGAGACTAAGGCAGAAGGATTATGAGTTGGAGGGCAGCCTTGGTTGTATGATCTGTCTCAAAAACCAAAGATGAGTTGGAGGGAAGGAGGTTTACGGTTTGGATTGACAACCTTTCACTTGCATGAGCAAAAGGAGGACACATTTTTCTGGCTTAGGTGTCCCACGGATACTTTTCCATGTAATTTGGATATAGGTTTTCTCTGTTCTTTTTTTTCCACCAATCCCAACCTCACTCCCACTCCCTCTCCTTCCCTCCCTCCCCATGAGTAAACAGTGTGCCTACTGTTCCTATGTGTATATACTCTAAGAACTGAGCTTAAACTTGTTAGGGAAACTTGTTCATGCTGACACATCTAGTGTATCCATTGAAGCTGGGATGTGCCTCTTACCTGTCTGGATTACAGGAAGGAGAACAGCTGCACTTAAACACTGTATCATACTGTGGACATCCAGCTTCTGCCTCAAACTTAGTTAAGTTCATGTCCTCATTCATCTTGCACATTATCACTGAAGTTGTTTTGCTTTGTTAAGATGCCCCCCTTTTGTCAGGATCAAATCCTGTATGTCTGTCAAAGCCCAATTCTAAATGCCATTTTAGCTGCCAGTGCTCTTGGCTTCCAGCAGAAAGGAAATACCTAATGTCCTTGAATGTTTATTTGATCTACATTCTGACATGGTCATTTGATGTGCACGGTTCTTTTCTATTAATCTGCAAGAAAAGGATTTGTGTCCACTGTTTGTATCACTTAGGTCATAGAGCTTTGTTGGCATTGCAGAACAGGTACCATTTCAATAAATATCCATAGTCAGTGAGTGCATTTATTTAGTATAATTTCTGCTCTTAATTTGTAAGAGTACTCTCTTAAATCAGTTTCCACATCAGAGTTGTTGACTCATTAATTGTATGGATTTTATTGAAATATGATAAAGGGTCTTGAACATACCTGTCTTAATCCTGTCTTGAGGATTAACATTTGAATGTTGAAGACATGACAAATGGTTTTAAAATTAGATAAGCCTTCCTTATTATACTGACATCAGTAAGGCTATTTGAATATGCATGAAAATTTCGAGGATATTTGAGAGCACTATAGACATTTTGCTATTTCTCTTTCTAGAAGTTAAGTAATACAGATTATAATAGGGAAGTGATTCTCAAGCTGGAAGTAGGTGTCAAATCTGTCATTGTTTCTGTTATACAAACCTTGAATAAATGACACACCTTTCTGGGGTTTTTTTGGGGGGCGGTTTATGAGATAACGTATCTTTCAGTTTTAAAATTCATATTAAATTTTTCACAAGACAATTTGATGTATCTTTCTTTCAAATAATATATAACAAAGAAGTGTGTGCTGTTTCAAATAAGCCCTATTCTTTAAAGCATAGGATTCTTGAAAATTGTTAATATGACTTTTTCTACCTGAAAATCAGAATATTAGAATTAATAAAATTTCCTTATGTGAGCTTTGTTGAAAAAGATTATTCTTGTCCTGTAATAATGCTATTACACAGCATTATTCCTTTGCTTTAATTTTCTTTGCCTCATCATATTTAAAATTTGGGAATAGTGTAGATGTAATTCTAAACGGTTTTATTAAATAAGAAACACAGAGCCAGATAAAGAGTTAAAAGCCCAGAGATCGAGCAGTTGCCAAGAGCTAAGACCACCTTATCTTACCACTCGCTGCTGTCCTTCCCCTCAGAGAGAGACCTTCTTCCTGTGTCCTGTCTTTTTATTGCCTTTGTGTTCTGCCTTCTCATTGGTTGTAAACCCAACCACATGACTTCCTCGTCACTGCCTGTCTATACAGACCTCCAGGTCTCTATGGTTCCTACTGAGATTAAAGGTTCGGGTCACCACTTGGCTGTGTCCTTGAACACACAGAGATTCTGCCTGCCATATGATCAGATTAAGGGCGTGTGCCACTACCGCCAGACTTCTGCTAAATGGCTTGCTCTTAGCTCTGATCCCCAGGCAACTTTAATTATTAACATACACATAAAATCACATTTCAGCACAAATAAAATATCACCATAGAATAGTAATGAATTTTATCTAAAAAAATCTATGTCATTTCTTATGCATCTCACTACCAAGCTGTAAAACTTGTTGAATACATTGAGAGACACTATTGGAAGTACTGCATATAGCCTGAAGTCATAACAACCTCACACTTGTCAGTGGCTCCTTTATGTGACAAATTACTCTCAGGAGCAAATGATATGTGGCTTTTCTCTTCTTCTGTTGTTGCTTTTATTTTAAATAAAGTGCTTGACCAATAGCCTAGTAACAGTTGTTTCCCTGATTGAATGTGAATGCTTCTTCTGAATATCTTTCATCTATTGGAGTCATTGTTTTATTGGATTCTAGTTGTTCTGTGCTTCTCAAAAGTTTGTTTTGTTGTTGTTGTTTTTTTTTTAATTGCTTCCTTTCAGCTGTTTGCTATAGGGGAAATGAACTGTTCTATTAGTAATTTTAGAATGGCATCTCTAACAATTTGATTGGTTTTCCAGTGGCACTTATAAAAACAGCTTATCTCTACCCTGCTGGTATTGGAAAGATATTGCCTGATGGATACAATCTGAAATGATAAGTTTTTGTTAGAATATGGTGCCATATTTACCAACAGGACAGCCCTACTGGCTTTATTCTTAAAGTAGTGGTGCTCTTTAGCCAAACCATTCCTACACTCATTTCCAAGAACCTGGATGTGATTTAAAATGTTTCCTGTAACCATAGAAACTAGCCTGAACTACATTCCAAGACCCTGCCATTGTTAAGACAATACATTCTGGGGTGGGGGGACGGGGAGCAGTCAGTGCTCAGAGGTTAAGAGCACTGACTGCTCTTCCAGAGGACCCAGGTTCAATTCCCAGCACCCACATGGCAGCTCACAACGGTCTGTAATGTCAAGATCTAACACCCTTACACCAACATACATGCAGGCAAAACACCAGTGCACATAAAATAATTTTAAAAAGAATGCATTCATCTCTTTGCTTACTTACTGAGCATAGTGTGATCACCCTCCTACTGACTGACGCAGCTAGTATTGGTCACTTCCTGCCACAATTCCCTGCATGAGGTCCTGCAGGAGCTTAAATAAATCCTTTTTCCTGTAGTTGCTTTTGACAAGTATTTTTCTCACAGCAACAATAAAGGTCCCCAAAATACTAGGCAAGTGCTCTACAATTTGCAGTTGATTTTTGTCCTCAACTTAGGTGACTTTATTTGTTGTATTTTGAGGCAAGGTCTGTGTAGGTGCCCAGGCTAGTTTGGAACCCATGTTCCCCCGTCTCACTTCCTAAGTGCTAATTTATAGGCATGTGCTACCATAGCCACTGATCAACATCCTCCCATGTTTGTGTGTCTCTTTTTGATTTGTAATTATCCTCTTTTATTTTTATGAATATAAAATCAAGCACTAGCATCAAGAAATTAATAACATCATTTATCAAGCAAAATGTTAATTAAAGTTTGACAGTGTTGAATATATTTCTTCTCTCACCTTTTCTTGAAAGATACAAACTATTCTGGAAGCCTATCCTTCTTGTGTTTGTTGTACTTAATTATAAATTATGGTTAGTGCCATGATCCAGCACCTTTTATTATGGTATTATTTGAAAGAAATTACTTAATAATTTTTGCAGTGTTTTTAAAGCACATACAGCTATAACAGAGTAGGTAGTTCTGGCCTTTTTTTCTGTATTAAACAACTGGAAAACTGAACAAAGAATATAAAAGAAATATTTTAAACACTTGCAAGCATGCCAGGATCATGACTACTAAGATTAGGGAAACCAGTGAAGTGAGCCCCATCTATTTGCCTGAAGTGACTTCCTGCTGCCTGAGTAGGTGAGGGCACCCTTACCTATGGGAGCTGGGAGCAGACCACCTAGCAAGGTCAGAGAGCTAGATGGAAGGGTTGGGTTTAGTTATACTTTATAGAGCAGGCTACTGGAGAGAAACATGCAGGAAAGAAGATCAGGAAAGTTGTAGGGAATTCATTCCCTTTGAGTCTTTTGGATACCGTGTTACATTTGTGTTTTGTAAGCAGAAGTTTCTGTCCCACCAGCCAGAACCACACAGAGACTTATATTATTAATTATAAATGCTTGAATGATAAGCTTAGGCTTATTATTAGCTAGCTCTTACAACTTAAGTTAACCCATATTATTAATTAATTCACGTGCTTCCATGTGGCTCATGGCTTGTTACCTCATTTTCTGCACATCTTGCTTCCTCTGCGTCTGACTGGTGACCCCACCCTTCTTCTCTGTGTTCTTTTTCTCTTTTGACAAGTCCCACCTAACCTCTTCCTGCCAAGAGCTATTGGCCATTAGCTCTTTATTTAAACCAATGAGAGCAACATATCTTCACAGTGTAAAAAAAACAAAAACCTATTCCCTAACAATGTTCTGTCTTTCTCTTTCAGTTTGACTTTGATCTGTCATAGCTTTAACATTTCAGCAATGTTTTGTGAAAGTATAGTGTTCTCTGAATGTGCTTATCTTATGATTACATTGATGTGATTTTTTTTTTCCTTAAGAAAGACAAATGAGAAGTGATCTTGCAGTACTTCTGTATCAGGAGTCCATGATAACCTGTCAGTGCTTGATGTTTGGTGATGTTAACCTTGATGGTGTGATTTAGGTGTTCTCCTCCATTCTTAATTCTCCTGTAGTCACCTCTAAGCCCAGATCACCTCCAATATCCTGAGTATAAATGTTCTGGAGGATTTTGAGGTCTCATAGCTCCTTTTACAGACTTCCATGTACTTCCTCTTATCCATGTCATCCCTGCTTCCAGATGTGCTGACAGTTCCTCAAGGTCTACTGATTTGTGTCTTGTCAGTCTGCCCTTTTGAAGTACTTAGCATCCCAGAATTTCTTCCATTAAATTTACTTTTATCTGCCTTATTTCTTAACACATTTTGATTTAATACTTTTCTGTTTAATACAAAGATGAGGTTATGCTGTCCTGCTTATTATTTGGGAATAAGTTGAGTGTGGTGATGCATGGAGGCAGATGCAGACGGATCTCTGAGTTCAAGGCCAGCCTTATCTACAGAGTGAGTTCCAGGACAACTAGAGCAACAGAGAGAAAACCTGTCTTGAAACAAATGAACGAACGAACAAACAAAAAAAGAGTTCACAGAAATACATTTAGCTTACATTCTAAAATTCAAACCCAAATAGTCTTTCAGAAGACTAGCTTTCATCATTTTCAGACTTTGAAATGCATAAACCTTTGGCTCAGCTTTTCTGTTTCTGGGAGTGCACATCAGAAATATTTACATATGTACATAAAAATACATGTATAGGAAAGTTTAAAGAAATATTGCTGGTAATAGCTATGAATGAGTTAATGAAAACACCGATATAAAAAATGATAAAAGTGATTAAATTTTGATTATTTTTATGCTTGGAAATACTTTGTAGCAATTGGGACTATTGAAATTGTTTTAATACAAATGTGAGAGTTGTATAAAAGTTTGCAAAGCAACTTGTTTGGCATCATTCCATGTCTGTATTTATATGTAAACACGTAAGATCCTTTGTATTAATCAGCTTTCCATTGCTGTGATAGAATGAATACCTTGGGTAAACTATTTGAAAAAAGGAAAATGTAGTCTGTGCTCATGCTTGAGGAGTTTTAGTCCTTGGTCATTTAGCTCTTGCTTTGGGCTTATGGCAGTGAGGTATGTCATAGGGAGAGTACAGCAGAGCTTGTTCACCTCTTGATTCCTGGGAAGTTGAGAGGGAGACAGGGAAGTAGTTTAAGTGAAGGAAGAAAGGGGATCCCAGAAATATTTCTGAAGATATAATAATATTATCTGCATTCTACTAGAAATGTTATCTTGGATGTCATGAAAGTGAGGGGTCCCTACAGGTGTCAGGCAGGGGAGCAAATTTCATAAAGAGGTAAGAACGAAAACCTGGTGCAGATTGACTTCATCAACCTGGATCAAACTTCAGGGAGTCTAATGCCAGGTGGTTCACTGTCGGCATATTTAAAACACCGTATAATCTGGGGAAAGGTTTCCAGGCAACAGTCAGTCCAGTTCCAGTGCACAATAAAGCTTAAGGTGTGACTGCATAGAAACTCCTTTACAAAGTACATGTGACCGTGAGGGTGGCTTTTATAGTTAAAAGCCTAGAATCTAGTATAGTCTCTAATGGATAGCACAGAGGTCAGCAGGCCATAAAGTACATGTGACATATCCCCTAAGTATGGGTATAATAGTGTAGAGAGGGAAGAGTCTGGAATTCTAGGGAATTTGGGTGAGGTTTGCCTCTGTAGCAAAAGGTGGGTGAGGTCTGCCTCCATATATAGCAAAAGGGTCACCAGGTCACTAACAAAATCCATTCTCAGCTTTCTAGATGGAATTCAGGTATTTGATTTTATCTTTTCCATCAAGGAGACAACCCTGCGTGATTAATATTCCTGGTTCTCTTAGTGCTTCTCTAGAATACAAGGCCCTTGTGTACTCTACAGGAAAGGGAAATGTTAGTCCTTTTACTTTGCACACTTCTACTTGTTGTAAGTTATTTTTATAATGAGCTTACTGCATTTTTTTAAAATTAAAAGCATGAAATGGACTATTTACCAGGATTGAACAACCAGAGAAGTTTTTAGGCAGAGAGGCTCTTTTTAGTAGGCTCTCTGTAGTACAGGATCTTGTCTAGTATTTAATCTAGGGTGCCTGATTGACTGACAGTCAAGTGAAGCTGTCAGTCCCAGACTGGCCTGTGTCTATTGCTCTAGATGTGGAAGCATTGTGAACTAAGAAGCTGAAAGGGTCGTTTTTGTGCAGGGAGCCAGGAAGATCATACAGCAAGCCTACTAGACTGGACCCCAGGGATTAAACCCAGGTCATCAGGCTTTGCAGCAAGTACCTTTACCAGCGAGTCTTCTTACCAGCCCACTTATACATTCTAAAAAAAAGATTGATTTATTCTTTTAAGAAACTGAGCCGGGTGGTGGTGGCGCACGCCTTTAATCCCAGCACTTGGGAGGCAGAGCCAGGCGGATCTCTGTGAGTTCGAGGCCAGCCTGGTCTACCAAGTGAGTTCCAGGAAAGGCGCAAAGCTACACAGAGAAACCCTGTCTCGAAAAACAAAACAAAACAAAAAAGAAACTGCCAATAAAATTCTGTTTACATTTCTTACTTTTATATACAATATAAAAATCCACTAATAGAATTAAGTAAGTAAATAAGATTCAATATCAGTGTCCTAGTTAGGGTTGCTATTGCTGTAATGAAACACCATGACCAAAGCAACTTGGGAAGGAAAGGGTTTATTCCAGCTTAAATTTCCAAATAACAGTTCATCACCGAGAGAAGTCAGGGTAGGAACTCATCATCTCTTCATTTCCTGCTCAGCCTATGTCTGTAGTAGAAGCATAGACACTCACTTAGACTTCCGTTATTGCTATTTAAAGTCCTTTTTCTTGTAAGTACTACATTAGCTTTAGCTCATAAGTTTTTGAACAGTGTGTTTTGTTTTTATTCAGTTGATAGTATTTGAAATTATTTCCTTGAGATTTTTCTTTCTTTTTCCTTCCTTTTTTTTTTTTTTTTTTTTTTGACCCTGGAGTTGTTTGGCAGCATGTTGTTTGTTGGTTAATTTCCAGATATTTCGGTTTTTCTTGGTTTTCCTCGAATTCTATCTTGTTTTGTGTCTTGTGCTTTGGGACTCTTTCATTAGATGCATATGCATTTATACTTATGTTCGAAAAAGAAATACATAATCTAATAATAAAACTCAAAACTAGTAAAATGATTAGGCAGAATCTGAAAAGCTATAGAAGACTTACAGATAACCTATGAACCAACTTGACCTAACTGACACTATACAGTCTGTCCAGCAGTTCTAGATTCATTCCAGGCGTGGAGCAATCACCAGGGCACATTGTATGCTGGATCACAGAGATGGCTCAATGAAATTTAAAGCCTGAAATCATATAAAGTGTTTTCAGACCATAGCAGAGTTAAATTAGATATCCACTACAAGTATGTTCATTATCTAGGGCTTGCTATAAAAGTGATGAATACTGCGCTTCTCTTTAGTAACAAACTACTGCAGGTGCAGGAAATTGGGGTGGAGAGGACTGATAACAACCTACAGGGAATTCTGACTGCTGCCATTTCTCTGAGGAAGAAAATTCTTTATCTCTAATACAGAACTTGTGTCTTCTTCAGTGCCCATGAAATGCTAATAGGTCAGCTGTTAGCCTATAAGTAAAGTAAGCTGAGACCCTAGGTAGTTCCCGGCATCTCCTTTAGTTCTTAGAAGGTATTTAAACAAGTATCTTAAATTTTTTATTAGATCCACTGTTTGAGGACCTTGTGAGACATTTCATATTGACTGACGTTTTTACTCCCAGAGTCTGTGTCATGCTTTCTTTCTTAGCTGCATGTGTCATATGATATATAAGCAACTCTGGATTCTGACTGTTCTCCCCCACACTCCTAGCATTTGCTGCTGTCTTTGTTTAGTGACTTGCCTGGACTACTTGTTTCTCAGAGTGTACAACCACTAATGTATAGCTTAGCCTTTTAATGTTTTTTTTTAAATTTTTTGCTTATTTTATTATTTTATGTGTTTTGCTTGTACATTTGTCTGTGCATCACTTGTGTGCCTTATGCTGCAAAGGTCAGAAGAAGACATCAGATTCCCTGGGACTACAGTAACAGGTGGTTGTGAGCTGCCATGTGGGTGGTGGGAATTGAACCCAGGTCCTCTGGAATAGCACCCAATACTTTTAACCACTGAACCATCTCTCCAGCCTCATAGCTAAGTTTTTATGTTTATTTTCTTTTTCTATTTTCCTAGGAGGCTATGTATATGTAAATTTTGTTTTCTAGGGATAACATCTACTTGTCTTTTATTGCTACAGGACTTACTATGTACCCAACCTGGCCTGGACTGGCCTGAGCTCATGGTCTCCCTTCCTCAGCCTCCCAAGGGCTAGGGTTGCAGCCATATGCTACCACACCCAGCACCTATATCTCTATTTTAAATTATTAGTTAGCCAAAAATTAGTCTGAAAGTATGTCCAAATTCTTGAAGCTCTTAGCTGGTAGATCTGGTTTGAGGAATACCTTCAAACTTTGAGTTATTTTTCAGGCTGCCTCAGCCTTTGTTTTGTGCTGGGTGATCTTATTTGTCTCTTGACTAACACACATAGCTTCCACTGACCAGGTATACATGGATGGCTTGGACTGTCTATGTCTGCATCATCTACACCTTGCTTCCAGTCATCCTGGGATGTGTCGTGCTTATCAAGCTTTCTTATCACTTTCTTACCTCATGAAATACCATGTTCCATGGCTGGTCAATTGTCCATTGCCCCTAAAAGATCACCTCAGGCTAGGAAGTACTAGCTCTTTTTGCATACCAGTGAGCCCACTCTGACAATAGTGGCAAAACCATCGACTTTCAGAGCCTGCTCTATTCTGATTGGTCACTTGAGCAAAGATGGGATGATAATCCAGACACTGTTTTAAACTGAAATATTATAGTTTCCATTAACAAATGCTTCTTGGTGTAGGCTGACTTTTCTGTCCTGCCAGCTGCTCCCCAAATAACCACACAGAGACTTAATATTAATTAATTATAAATGCTAGGCCCATAGCTTAATCTTGTTTTTTGCTAGCTGGTATAGATTAAATTAACCCATTTCTATTAATCTATGTCCTGCTCCAAGGCTCATTTACCTCATGTAAGTTTTTCCCATCCTGCTAGCTCTACATCTCCTGGCATCTCCTGGCATCTCCTCTGCATCTCCTCAGACTTCTTCCCTTTCTTCTCCCCAGCATTCTCTCTGCCCTGAAAATCCTGCTTAATTATCAGCCATTCCTCTTTTTATTAACAATGAGAATAGCGCGTTGTAGCTTAAGTTTTCCTGCCTGGCCCACAGTCAGGACAAATCTCTATCACCTGCCAGTCCCACAGCCCCTCAGACCCAACCAAGTAAACACAGAGACTTATATTGGTTACAAACTGTATGGCCGTGGCAGGCTTCTTGCTAACTGTTCTTACAGCTTAAATTAATCCATTTCCATTAATCTATACCTTGCCACATGGCTCGTGGCTTACCGGCATCTTCATATGCTGTTTCTCATCATGGCGGCTGACAGTGTCTCTCTGACTCAGCCTTCCACTTCCCAGCTTTATTCTCCTCCTTGTCCCGCCTACACTTCCTGCCTCGCCAATGGCCAATCAGTGTTTTATTTATTGACTAATTAGCAACACATTTGCCATACAGAACATCCCACAGCAGCGCGTCTTCACAAGTGTACAGGAGGATTATTCCACAGCATCTTGGCTTGTGTTGTGCCTTTGGTCAAGTTCAAGTCTGGGCAGTTTTGTCCAATTTTATCATTGCTATTGGGGATGAGATTTTTGTCATCCTCCTCAAACCTTCCTGCCAGAAGTCCAGAGTCCCAGTCTGTACTATTTTGCTGTGAATGATGGCATACTCTAGTTCTTAGTTGATTCTCTGTGGTCACATCAATCTCCCTCACCTGCTTAACTATGACATAGAACCCACATGGGAAGGGGAGCTGCAGTATGCATAGATTCCCCCCAGTTTGATCAATGAGCGATTGTTTACATTATTACAGTAACCTGGTATTTACACTTTGATTGGATGTACATGAAATAAAATGTCTGCCTTGAAATTTTAGTTTCATTATATAATGTTATTTATATGGGCTTAGCTAAAAAGATCAAAATGTTGAATGAGCTTTTAGAAACATTGGTCTCTATTGAAACATCCCTGAATTTTCTTCCATTTATTAATTTAATAATATAAATTTATTGGTTACCTAAAGTAGACAGAGTGAGTGAGTGAGTGAGTGGTTACAAGATGAAGCAAGTAGAGATTTTGTCCATAAGGGGCTTGTAGGTTCATACAAGGTGATACAGTGTGCACATGGATGGTGTAAATAAGTGCTGTGGGATGTTAATGAATTACTGATCTGTGCATTAGAAGTTCAGCAGGGCAACCAAACTTGCCAGTCTGAATGATTCACCCGTTACACCCTTCACCTGCTTTCCCCTGCTTACATTGTCTCTCTAGCTGCTTTCATATCCCACTCAAATGTGGGAAGTATTGTCCACATAGTACTTTCTTGTTTAGCATTCATCTGGTTCCCATTGTATGGAACATGGGTAGGGAGTGCTACTGCTCCCAATTTATAGATAGGGAAACTGACACAGAACACTGACTTGTCATGCTCACATTATTAGGAAGTTTCAGGGTCAGGGTTTAAACATGGATCTTTGTATTCAATCCAGGACTCTTCCCAGTAGACATTATTGCCTCTTATATGATGGACTAACTCTGCTCTCCAGCCAGTAAATAAGGAGAAAATGGGGCTTAGTGAGTCATATAACATTTGAAAGTGTATTTATATGTTTTAGAAGCAACTGTGTTCAGGTTACTCTTTGAACCCTGTAAAGGTCTATAGTGACTTTTTTTTTAATAGTAACCAGATCCATATCTGCAACTGCCTGTGTACATTTCTTGTATAGGTATTTGTTACCTAAGACAAACCAAATCATCATCTACCCCTCAGTGTATTGTCTTCATTAATATTTCTTCCTCCATCAGCCCAGTCTGCCAAGCCAAAAACCTGGACGTTCTTAATTCTTTCCTCTCAGCATCTGACTCCATCATTTCCACCCCGCCTCCTAAGCTGTTAGATAAACAAAGTGACATGAAAGAAAAGAACTCTGAAAGCTGTGAATGAGAGGCATAGATTTCCTCTGAGGCAACACACCTATCAAGGCATACAGGACAAGAATAAGTTCTCAGTGGCTATTCAAACTTGACCTGCCATATTGATATGTGTCTCAGTAAAGTGTGTACTTACAGCTGAAGGAAAACTTAATCATCTTAAATTGTAATAGACTAACTCTTCCGCGGAGGTAGACACAAAAAGGAGAGGGCCGGAAAAAGTAAGTGATGTGCCCACAATGACACGAATGACATTTCCAAACTAGAAATCGTTTCCCTTCTTCAGAGGCCTTTTAAACTACAAGTCACAGTTAGGTCTACTACTCAACTACTTGCTGTGACCCAGGACAAGTGATTTTAGCTCCAGAGTATCATCCTCGGTACGATGAAGACAGTATGGTAGTACAGACTACAGAATTGTTGTAATGATTTACTGGTCCACATAAAGAGGGAGAGTTCCAAATGGCAAATGCTCAAATACTTCTAAGAGACTGTTGCCCTCTGCCCCACCACTCAGTTCAAAACTAAGTAAGATGAAGTGCTTATCTAGCACACTGGAGGCCCTGGGTTCAATCTCCCCCAAGTGGGTGGATGTGGGAGAAACAAAGTCTACTCATTGTTTTCCTCCCTGCCTTTCTTCTACCAGCTGCTCCAGGAAGTTTATAGTAACTTTTTTGAAAAATGTGAGACCTTCTCTCAGGCATGGTGGTGGGGTGAGATTAAACTTGTACTTCTTGTCTCTAAAAAAGAAGATTTAGGTTGAGTACAAGGAGTAGAATTTCTAAAATTAGAAAGGAAGAGCAGGGTAGCTGTGGCTGCTC